GTGATCATGCCACTGCACTTCAGCCTGGGCAACATAGTGAGATCTTGTCTTAAGAAAAGAAAAGAGAAAAAAAAAAAAAAAAAAAAAGAAAAGAAAAGAAGTAGTTTTACAACAAACCTAAATCTCAATCCTGTAAAAGGAGTCACAGAGCCAGCTGTGACTCTAAAATCCATTTGTTTACATGATGCCCAGCCACAAATGTCGCTGGCCTCTGATGCGTTCTTTCTCCCCAGCAGGTTTGGGGGCACTGGTAGGAGTCAGCTGCCTTGGTACCTGGCTCTGAACAGCTTTGGGAGCCTTCTCCAAGATGTGTCGCATGTCCAGTTTTGTTTTGACAGAAAGAAAAGCTCTTTGTGTGGAATTTTATTTGAAGTCAGTTTGTGAGGAACGCTATCTCTTCTGTGATTCAGAAGAAGAGGAGTTTTGGTTTTATGATTTTGCAGACAGATCACAGGAAGCTGCTTAGCAAATTTTTTCTTAGTTGCTTTCCTTGATTCTGTTTTTCCTTCCATGGGTACATCATACATCGTTGCCAAACACTGGATTTGAACTGATTGAAAGAGGCTCTATTTTCTGTGAACAATTTGTCCTTGTGCAATCCTGATTGTCACTCGCCTATAACTTATTTAATTTTACATCTCAGCAAATACAGTATTATTTCTCCAATAGAGTTGGCTTCTGAATCACTCTACTGGTTATTTATCATACATATCTGTAATTGAATTACCTATTAGTGTGATTTACTCTCACTTGTACATATAAATGCAACATAAAATAACATTTTTCCAGTGTGTACTTCCTCATTATTCTACATGAACCCTAGGTTAGCCAATTCTACAGAAATACAGTGACAAATAATGAGGGAAAGATGGGAAGATAAAAGATTAGTGGTTTCATGAGCTTTTGATAATAAAAGAAATTCAGCCTCTAAAAAAATTTTCTCTTTTAAAATAGTTTTTCCCCCCAAGGGTTAATCAGGAAACCAATTCTAGGAAACCAGTCAGGAAAAAAAGAGTTTAGAAACAGAATGATTTTACTTCTTTGAAATGCAATACTATTTTAATACATTTTAAAATGTAGGAAAGGGAAATAAAGTGTATTTGCCTTTGCTCTCGTCAAACAACCATTAATCTTGGACAAAACAAGAAGGAGAAGAAAGAAAACGACAACAGCAATTCCTTTGGGAAAATTTTGTCTTCTTGAGCCCACTGTTATGTTACTCCTATTGTAAATGTCACGCACAAGGTGAAATATGGCTTGTCTTTGAAGTTGCCTGGCTTCAAAATACTCTGTGAAACAGACAGCCAGGTTTCCTTAGCCATACAATCTTTTAGATGGAAAAGACTGTGCCAATCCAACTATGTTGAAATAAATTCCTATTATTCAATACCTTTTCTTGGATCAAGTTTTCATTTGTTTTCTTCTATTTGGCTTCCGTTCTGAATCAAAGCAAGTTTTGAGTAGGCTCATTGATATTGAGAAGTTTATCTACATATATTCTAGCTTAATTTTGCTTTTTCCTCTTTTCTCCCTATCAGAAATTGATTTTGTATATTCAGATGACCAATTCCTAAAAAATTCATCTGAAAAGTACACTGCATATTTACCAAGCATACCCACATCTGTTCCTCCAAAGTGCTTCCCAGGAGCCACATCTCACCTGCTGAATTTATCCCCAGATTGATCCTAATCTGTACAGGAATTAGAAACAGAAGATTGCCCCCTATCTACAGCAGATCATTTCTGCAAGGCAGTAGAGTGATAAAAATCTCATTTTCAACCAAACTTCTGCATCTCAACTTAAAAAGGTTGCTGAGACATATGTGAAATTGTCTGTGTTGTCAAGTGTGCTCAAGACAACTAAAAGTACTTAGAGATGCTCATTTTAGGATTCAAGAAAACAACTTTCTTGATACAAATTTGCAAATAGATGCAGGTGAACAGAAATAGACAAGTTTTCACTTTAGACACTTTGCACTTAGGTATAACTCCATGTGTTAGGCACCATAATTTACATTTTAAACATTATTTAACACATAAAAACTTGTCACCTTGGTATGATTATACCCAAAGCAATTTGTCTGGGTAACTATAGCAACAATTGCAGAAACATTTTTAAACACAAAATTGGTATAATTTTAGAATAAATAGTTATGGAGGACTTATTGCAGGATGTAGGGCTGCTTTACTCAAATAATGGTACATATACTACTACAAAAATGCATTCCTTGACTGGGATATATTATAAACTAATTTGTTCTATCTTGCACACCGTCTGCTTTGTAACTCAAACCTTTTCCTTGGGATAAGTTTCTGATGTTAGTTAACTACAGGGTTCATGATCACTTGTCTACATCATGGAATGCCTTTATACCTTTGGCTGGACATTTAGTGAAGGTTTTCTGCTCCTCCCCCACGTCTTCCTGTATCAAAAGCAAAGACTCAATTTCAATGACTTTATGACCAAAAAAAAAAAAAATCATTTGAGACAGTTATAATAATCACCAAGTTAAATCAAACTGTCAAGCTTCAGATAGGCAGCTCTCTCTAACATCAGGAGCATTTGACATCGACCACAAAGAGCTGGCATCTCTTATTTTGGGCCATAGCACACAGCACAGTGAAAGGCTTGCTGGCTTTAACATATGTCCTTCACCAGGAGGCTAACATGACTCTGGAGCTAAATTTTTTACTGCAAATCCATGGACAGGGCTTCAGAAGTCCCATGACTCTCTAAAATTTATGCAGAAGCTTGTATAAATGTGTATTTATTTTGGTCTCATGTTCAATAGGTTTTAACAGCCTCTGTGCTATAAGTTTCTATGTTTCATTCTCCCCAGACATGTGATGAAATCATTTTATAGGGAAACAGCAGTGAAAAACACAGGTTTATTTTTACCAAATTCTGACCATCTCAAAAATTTATTTTGGACAGAGACAAGCTTTACCACCCAGGAGACCAAAGCCTTTGCTCTCAGCAGGGATCTTGCAGCTGTTTGACATTAAAACAACCAAATAAGTTACTGCAATTCACAGAAGACATAAAATGATTAGCATCATCTGTCTTCTCCCTGTTAATAAAAGTATATATTGGCTAAAAGCACATAAAAATAGATGTCAGTTTCTCAACCCCACAGTTCAGAGTATCCAAATTCTTAGTGTGACTGCATGGAGCAACGTGAATGAGCAAGCTTCTATCTCCAAAGTTTTTACAAGAAAGAAACTCAAGGAAAAAAAAAATCTGTGTTTCAGGTGAACCAAACAATTACACTTAGGGCTGCTTTCTAAGGAAAAACAAACCTAGGAAAAGAAATCTTTTGGAGGGGATAAAAAGATCCATGTTTCCTTTGGTGTAAATACATGCACAGACAAGAAACTTATTTCAGTTATACATAACTTAATGGTATTATCTGCTTCAACCGAAATTGTAAAGTGGTCATGATAAGATTTACATTCTCTAAAATAATGAAACTGGCATTAATTAGCAACTCATTCAAAAATCCTAATTAGGTATTGAAAAACCTTTCTTACTAAAGTCTGGTTTTGTGTTTCTGTCTCCTTATGAAAAGGCTATAATTAATAACATATCTGCTGGTTCCAAACTCAGCCATTATGACAGAGCTCTTCTGGGTAAGCGAGAGATAAAATCGTCTATCTTCACAATAAACAAGAACAATCATTTGTGACTCCTGGTGTGTTAACTGAAGCACCCCTAAAAAGCAGAACAATATTAAACAAAACTCACGTTATCTTCCCTCAATTTCGATTTCTTTCTGGGTAAGTCACAGGCAAGAAGACAGATGCCCAGGCAGGAAGAGTTTACAGGGATCTTTTTCTCTGGAAGACACCTTTCTAGTTAGAGCACTTACGTCTGGCCACCTCCTTTCCTGTCTCCTCTTCTAGCAAGGCTGATAGCTCTCCATAGCCACCAGAGCAGCTCCCCCCACCCCCAGCCCCCACAATGAAATTACTGCGAGATCTGCCTGGCTCTGCTGTTTGTTGCCTGGGACCCCCACCCACTCGCCTAGGACCCAGCAACTGCCTGTGGCTCCTCATCCTCCCAGCGCTCGCTCGCAGCGCCCCCTGCCGGGGATCACGAGAACGCCGCAGGCACAGGAAAGTTAAATCCCAACTCCAGCCGCCGCATCCAGGTACAAAGCAAGCAAAGGGCGAGGCGGTGAACGCGCTTCCCGCCAAAGCCCGGGGAACCGGGATGTGACCGCGCCAAGCCAGGCACCCAGCGCCGCGCGGAGCGGGCCCGGAATCGCTTCTCCACGACTGTTCCCACGCACATCTTGGGAGAAATCGTTCCCTTTGGGGCCCGATCTGCCTCCGGTCCCGAAACCTTGAGCCAGGGTATACAAAATCCGAGGAGCAGCAGAGGGATGCCGGGGGAAAGGGGCTCGCCTGGCTGCAGCCCACCTGGCTGGCGGTTCCCCAGGCCTCTGCATCCCCGCCTTGGTGTCTTTCATTAACCAAGGTGCTTAGCAGAGTTAAGCCCAAGTCCCCCTGCCTCCAGGTTCCCCTGTAAGGAAAGCAAGAAAACCTGCCCAAGCCGGCGGGGCTGCGAGGTGGCGGCTCCCGGACAACCAAGTCCCGACTTCCGAGTCCCTGGTCCCCGGCCCCCGGCAGTACGAGCCTGGAGGCGCGCCGGGTACGCGCACAGACCACCGCGCAGCTTTTGGGGTGTTGGGCAGGGGTCCCGTCTCGCCGACCGAGATACTCCGGTTCCTTACCTCTGCAAGCTCAGACCTCGGCACAGGCGGGTACACAAACTTCCAACCTGTGCACTGCCTCAACTGTGGGCGCCCCCGGAACTGACGGCGGTCCTAATCTTATGCACGCAACCCCATCACCCGCCCAGGTGCCTGCTGATGGATCCCACCCGACATCGACGCCACCCACCAGCCGACGGTGCCGTACCCAGGTCCCGGCCAGCGGCGCGGCGCGGTCAGGGGCTCCGGCAAAGACCATGCAGGGATCGGGCGTGGGTCGCTCACCAGGTGCGGGGCGTGCTCCTTGTGCCAGTCATCCAGCACCTGGGGCCAGAGCGGCTCCGAGGATCCTCTTCAGCACCTGGCTAGGGAAGTGGAGGCAGCAGCTGCAGCCACCCCTGCCACTTCCTCAGAGCCGCCCCCCACTCGCTGCGCTCTAGAATGGGGGCACCGGCTTGAGGGCCAGGAAAAGAGTCCCCGAGCGCGCGGCCAACCGGTGGGTGGCAAGGTTCGCACACAGCAGAGACGACCGGCGAGGTGGCAAAGTTGGGTGTCCGCGCCAGCTCCGCGGGGCAGTCGCGGGTGGGAGAGGGAAGCGCCCCAGGATAAGCAACACTGTCCGGGCCGTCCCGGCAAAGGCAAGGTGGAGGGCCGGGGCAGGCCTGGGGCTGCGGAGCCCACCCGCGGCGGGAAAGCAGCGCGCGGGAGCGGGCGCAGCGAGAACAGCAGCCACCAGCGCCGCCTTCCCGGCGAGTAGATCCGCGCGGAGCGAGCGGGCGCTGAGAGCCCGGGGCGGGGAGCGCGGGGCCGCCTGGGCCCGCCCCCGCCCCGCCCCCGCCGCTGCGCCTCCTCCTCCTCCTCCTCCGTCTCCTCCCTGCCCGCGTGAAACTCGAGCGCCCCACCCGCGCCTGACCTCCCCGAGCCCCTCCCCGAGCCCCTCCCCGGGTCCCGCCCCTTCCCGGGACAGGACCCCCCTTGCTCCCGGACGCCCCGCTGCACCCCAGGAGTTCCATTCCCACCTCCCTAGTGCGAGTGCGGCCGTGCGCTGACTTTTGGGGGCTCCCTCCCCCGTCTCACAGGGCCCTGCTGCGGCTCCCTCCCTGGGTCCCGACTCAGACGTGGCTGCACCCAGGAGGGGGGCGCCGGCCGAGACTGGAGACGTGGCGCGCCAGCTCTGCTGGCCTCTGCTCCAGGTACGTGCGCTCCCCTCGCCCGAATCTGACCTCGGGGGTGGGGGACAGGGGCCGTCTGGTCCTTCGGAACTCGAACTTTGTGATTTTGTTCTTTCTGTGTGACACCCTCATCCGTTCTGAGAGGGAAACTCCTTAAAGAAGAGTAGAGAGTCACTGTGGGTTCTCGGAGGAGCGGTTTGGGGCTGAGCCTCCGGCTAGTTGGGGTCGATTTCAGCGGGATTAAGTCCAGGAAATGTACAAATCTGACGAACCAGCGAGGCAGGTGAAGGGGTCACCAGGTAGCCACGCGGAGCGTTAAGAGAGAAGTCCCGTATGGTCAGTCACTCGTCCAATTCTGGTACAAATATTACTTGTTGCACTTTTGCAGGATCTTTGGGCCTTACTGAGTACTCAGGTGAAAAGTTTGTAATCGGGAAGCAAGTAAAGTACCTTTGAAAGTTTGTATAATTGGATACTTTGGTGCAGTTCTTCAGCTTCTCAAGAAGGTAGTTGAGCGGGGAGGAAGAGGGTCAGCCTCGCCAAAAAAACAAATGGTAAAGTTCTGGGAGTATAAGGCATAAAACTTGGGTTCAGGGTCCTAACTGGCCTTGAGCGGCCCTTTCCCACTGGATGAGGCTGCGGGACAATATCTCTGGGCCCCTTTTTCCTCCATCTGTGCCTCAGAGAGAGGCTTCAAGGTCCCTTCCACAAGGAAACGCATGCATGCCCCATCCTAAGCGAAGTGAGGTAGGGACCCTGCAAGGACCCACGTTCACACCAGCGCCCTTCCAGCCAGTGGTGGGTTGTGGATGGGCCTCGCTAGTACTGGGAACGGTCCGCCGCGTCCATAAGGCTTCCACTGAGCTCATCCATAAAACAAAGAAGCTATTGGTGGCTGCAGGGTTTCACAGCTCTTACAGTAGCCATGCAGACCTAACAGGGCGATGGAAATAAAAATTGCCATCGATGTGTCTTTATTTTCTAGAACTTTTTTTTTTTTTTAATGAAAGAATTAAGTGAAAGCAATTCCTATGGTTTCTATGGAAGCCCAGCTCAGCTCCAAATGCCCAGTCTCTGGCACAGGTGACCTGGCTGTCTTGGGTACTCAGGCCTTCTGGGGATTTCCTTTAAGACCTCTGGGAGGAAGTGTCAGTAGCTGAGCAGGCCTCCTTGGCAAGCATTCTTCCCTGTGTTGTGGCAGGGCTCCCGGCCTGCTGTGTGGCAGCTGCAGGCTCCTGGGACCTGAACCAGAACCTTAACTGTTCTCCCTTCCGTTGCTTGGCACTTAAGGCACTAGTTCCATTCCAGACATTCCGACTCTCTTGCCTACGTGGCACAGGGGCCTGGGAGCCTCCTTGCGAGGAAGAGGCAGGCCAAGGTCTTGCCGGGCTGCTTCTAGAGGGGAAGATGTAGGGAAGAAGCTGCCTTCTACTTGGATTCTGCAGCCTTTGTATGGACCTGTGGAGCCTGTGTGGCCGGAATGAGGGAGACAGAAATTAGAAACCAATGCATAATGTATTCAACGAACCCTATTCTTACCTCTCAATATTGCAGTTCATACTTAAAAAAAAAAAAAAAAGGCCAAAAATTCTTGGCATATAGAGCTAAGCGGTGGGAAGAAGACAGCTTTCTAACCATAACCCAGAAGGTGTAATGGCATAACATTTAACTGGATACATTATGTAATTTTGTGTGTATGGGGGGGGGGAGTTGAATTCAGTTTTGCTGTTTATAGGCTACAACAATACATTGTTAGAGGATGTATATTTTAGTGATGATGAATTACAAAATAATTGCTAATGTGCAGGAAAATAAACCAAATTATAATTTAGAGTGCATCCTTATTTTAAAGTGAAATGGATCTAAATTGAGGAGATAATTTTGAGTTTTAACCTGGGGAAAGTTCCTTAACTTTTCTGAGCTGTAGTCTCTTCACCTTGAACTTAGGCACACCAATCTGGCAGGTGAAGTCAGTTGTCTTCTTGAAAGGAGAAAGATGATAATCTGTGTAAAATACTCATCAAGCACCAAGCATATAAGCAGGCTTTCCATAAATAAAGTCATTTTCAAGTATCCAGAAGTATTTCCTTTTTCTAAGCAAAATTTCTTTTTATTTCTTTGTAAAGGTCTTGCTTGCTAGAGTTACCTGCATTAAACTGCACCTCATCACATTATGAAACAAAAAAATGTTTAATTCTCTTCTTTTCAAAATAAAATCTAGCTCTCCCTAAACTGTTTTACCTGAGCCATGCACCCAATGTGAAAGAATGAGGAGACCAACGGAACACTTGGTGAAAATGATGAATTCTGGGGCGCTGATTCATGTGACTTGAAAAACGCCATCCATTTCCTGATTCACCTCAATTTCTGTTTGGAACTATGAAAGATCATTTCCGTTTCGGAACTAATTGACAAAGTTTGTCTTGTCTTTAATTCCCTCCCTAGTGCCTGAATTTCAACCACATCCCTAAGCTGCCATCTCAGACCGAGAAACAGGGAGGGGGGCTGGAAAGAGCATCACCTGGAAGAAGTCAGGACATGACTGTGGGCCATGAGTGACCTTCAAAGGAAAGCTGGGTATCTGTGGTCTTTAAGATGTGATTAAGATTGTATTAAAATTATAGAAAAACCTCAATCCCGAAATTGTGGTCTCTTGACATTTACATCTTAGCTGGATTTTCCTACCAAAGAGCCAGGAGACACGCTACAATCATCCTCCGCGAGTGTTCTCTTTATACCGTTTTCATTCTTTTAGATCCATGGCATTTAAGAACTGAAGAAATGAATAGATCATCTGATCAGTCCCATCAGTCGTTTTCCTAATGCTAAACTTTGGTACAAAGATGTGAAGCTTGATGTCTCACTAAGCTTGCCCCGTACTGCTTTATTGCTCACCTACCTCAAAGTATTGGGAAAACATGATTATGGGTACAGGTGATGCTGTGTTTCCTCCCAAACAGTTTTCTTTTGTCAGATTCTTTTGATAGATTAAGAATCTGCAAGTGGGGAGATTTTAAGGAAATATCAGCCCAGCTGCTACACTTGGGTTTCACCAAAACGTCTTTAGGGTTCTCTTACCCCAAGAAACATGCACTCCTCTTTAGTGTAGCAGTCCACTCTGTTGGCAAAGTTAAGCAGACTAGTTTTATTTAAAAAGAGCCAGCTGGGCACAGTGGCTTATGGCTATAATCCCAGCACTTTGGGAGATGAGGGCAGGCAGATCACGAGGTCAAGAGATCAAGACCATCCTGGCCAGCTTGGTGAAACCCTGTCTTTACCGAAAATACAAAAATTAGCCAGGCACAGTGGCAGGAACCTGTAATTCCAGCTACTAGGGAAGCTGAGGCAGAAGAATTGTTTGAACCTGGGAGGTGAAGGTTGCAGTGAGCCAAGATCATGCCACTGCACTCCAGCCTGGGTGACAGAGTGAGAATCCATCTCAAAAAAAAAAAAAAAAAAGGGAGCCATCAAGAAACTTAGACAGATAGAAAATACTTGAGGCACAGATGAGAATGAGCACAGATGTGCATAGCAAGCGCAGTTTCTTGGTCCTTAAACTGAACAGCCAGGTCAGTCTGCTCCTCCAGGCACAGCCTGAGACCCCATCACGTGCCTTGCTCTGCAGTCTGAGTTTCCACCCAGGTCCTGCCTCACACTGCCCATGTCTACTCAGAGGGTTGCACTATACCACTGCTACATGTTCCCAAAGGTTGGCACAGCATGACCTGGACCTCACCTCTCCCAGGTGAACTCTGCTCATCTTTGAGCTCTCTGGAACCCATTTTTAAGGGAGAACCACATTCTCCCACATCACAGCCACGTTCAAGGAAGCAGCCTGGTTAAAGCAGTGACTCAAGAACACAACAGGCAGACCACACATTTAACGAGATGCACTCACTCACTCGCAGGAGCAGGTGGGGGAGGGCAGGTGTCATTTTCCCTGGTTATTTTTTTCTTACAAGAGTTTACTGATTCTTCTTTCAGTAAGGGCCTTTCAATAAGACAATGTGTTTTATTTCAGCTATGTGTGCAGAAAACCAAAGGATTCTAGAAATCTGAACATGTTTTACTTTGTCCTCTTGATTAAATTTCTGGATATATTTTCTAGCAACCCAATTTGCTTAAACAAAATTGGTGTGTCAAAAAAGCCCAAGTCATCTTTTATAAGTATGGTGTGGAGAGAAGAAAAAATGCTAAGTCTAAAAGATTTTTGGAATATCTGAAGAAAATACAGATAGCTTGTGGCATGGAGATAAAGCCTCTGGATGGCTTCCAGAATGTTGCTTTCTGACACTGAGCCTTGTATATATCTTGAATGCCTATAAGCAAAGAATGGCTATACTTTTTTTAAAAAGATACGTTATATACTTATTAATCAATGTCCTCTTTACTCCTCTGCCTTTGAAAATAGAGCTTTGGGGGAAAATAAGTACCTTTGAAAATATGTTTTCAAAAATATCCTGCTTAGATTTAGAAGCACAGATTACTCTGCCTTAGTTTATTTCATTATTTACCAGAGAAATTCAGTCAAAATGACCTTGAGTTAGTGAAAAGATGATCTGTTAAGTGAAATTAAACCCAAAAGCAAAATATCTCCTGAAGAAAATCCACAGAAAGAAAAGCCATCAGGGACCCAGTAGGCCCTCCTTCAAGTGTCATTTCAGGCACTCATTTCCATTCCATTCTCATTGACATAATCCACAGTTTCAGTGTCTTTCACCCAAAATACCAACACCTCTTCTTACTGTCTCCCTGACTCCAGCTCCAGTGATCATTCCCCAAGCAGCGACATCAAACCCACCCCTCACACACACACATCCTCATCATCATCATCCTTAATACAGACTTGATTTTATTTGAATTGGAAACTACTTGGCTACCAAAGAAAAAAAAAACAAAAAAAACCTCTCTCGCAGCTAGGTGAGGCCATAGAACTCAGCCATGACCAATAAGATGTAAATTGAGTGGGATTCTAAGACAGGCTTTGTAAAAAGGGGTAGACAACTAAGTGGGCATGGTCTTTCTTGCCCTTCTCTCCTACTTTTGGATTCCCACCCGGAAGTTGATTGTGATGGTCGAAATGCCAGGCACTGTCTGGGCACGATGGCTCATGCCTGTAATCCCAGAACTTTAGGAGGTTGAGGTGGGAAGATCACCTGAGGTCAGGAGTTCGAGACCAGCCTGGCCAACATGGTGAAACCCCATCTCTACTAAAAATACAAAAATTAGCCAGGCATGGTGATATGCATCTCTAGTCCTAGCTACTTGGGATGCTGAGGCAGGAGAATCTCTTGAACCAAGGAGGAGAAGGTTGCAATGAGCCGAGATCATGCCACTGCATTCCAGTCTGGGCGACACAGTGAGACTCCATCTCAAAAAACAAACAGCAAAACGCCAGGCACCAGTTTAGACTCTAAGCTGACCTTGAAAATGTAAAACATGAACTAAGGATAGTGGTGTAAAAAGTAGCCTAAATCCCTGGTGACTCTATGGAGGCTCTGCCTCAGCCCTGAATTACCTAACCCCAGACTTCATGACATGAAAAATAAATAATCTTCTGTTTTGCTTCAGCCATCACTGTTTCTGTTGTTCTTAGCAAGAGACTGTAATTCCTTACTGATGGAGGGGATTCAGTTCCTCCAGGTCTGGCAACCCTGCGGCTTCATCCCTCAACATGGTGCCCTATGCAGCCAGCACCCCGTGCAGCCAGCACCCCTTCTCCCTTTCTTCCACCCAGCTTTCCCACTTGAACCAAGCTTGGTGCACAACATGTGCCAGACGCATGGCTGCACATTGAAAACAGGATGAAAACACACTCAAGCAATCCCTGCCCTTTCAGAAGTTCCAGCTTACCGAGTTATAGCTTACGGAGTTATGGAATTCACAAGTATGTAATTCTAAACCCTGATAAATGCTATGAAGGACAAATGTATGGGTGGCTGGTTTAGTCTGGGGAATGGGAGAGGCATCACTGAAAAAGTAGCATTTAAGATGAGATTTGAAGGATTAGCAGAAACTAGAAAGAAAGTGGGAAAATTAGGGGATAAGAGTAAGACCTCCAGAAAAGGGTGGAAATAGTGAACAACTTTGGAATTTAATTCAATACACTTGTTAAAGTATCAAGCATAGTAATAGTAATTGCAAAAGCATAGCAATAGATACTGTCTTCATCCATTTCAGGCTGCTAAAACAAAAAGCCTTAAACTCAGTAACTTATAAATAATAGAAATTTATTTCTAACAGTTCTGGAGGCTGGAAAGTTCAAGATCAAGGCACCAGCAGCTTCAATGTCTGGTGAGGGCACAGTCTCTGCTTCCAAGATGGTGCCTTGTTTCTGCATCCTCTGGAGAAGAGGAACACTAGGTCTGCACATGGCTGAAGAGCTGGTTGGGGAAAAGGGCCCAGCTGATTCCCTCCAGCCCTTTCATAAGCCACCAATCCCACCTATGAGGTCAGAGCCCTCACAGCCTCATCATCTCCTAAAGGCCCCATCTCTTAATACTGTTGCATTAAGGATTAAGTTTCAATGTGAATTTTGGGGAGGATACAGTCATTCTTCCCCTGACGCCTCAAAATTAATGTCCTCATATACAGAATCCCCCAGATTGATAACTTGTTGCCCAAATTCTTAATGTGTTCCAGCATTAACTTTAAAGTCTAAGTCCAAAGTCTCAGTTAAATATGATCTATATCAGATACAGCTGAGACTGAAGGTACAATTTATCCTAAGGCAAACTCCTCCAGATCTGAGCCTGTGAAATCAAACAAGCAATGTGCTTGCAAAATAAGACAGTGGTGCCGGCATAGGATACACATCCCCATTCTGCAAGGGAGAGATGGGTAAGAAAAAGGTGTCACAGGCCCCATGGAAATCCAAAACCTAACAAGGCAAACTGTTAAATATTGAGGCTTGAGAATGGTCTTCTCTGAGTCCATGTTCATCCTTCCATACACACTGGGGCAAGGGTTGGACATGCAAGGGTCCCATCAGCCCTACCCCCATGGCTTTGCTGGGCACAGCCCATGCTATAGCTCTCACAAGTTGGAGTCCAGTGCCTGTGGCTCTCCTAGGCTGGCATTGCACACTGGTAGCGCCACCAATTTGGAATCTCAGGGCAACCCTGACCCCAGAGCTCTGCTGGTAATTGCCCTAGTAGGGACGCTCTGCGCCTATCTCACCTTTGTGGCAGTTCTCTGCCTGGGCTCTGAGGCTCTCCAAGACATCTTTTGAAATCTAGGTGGAGATAGCCACACCTCCGTAGCTCATACACTCTATATAAATGCATGGTTGTCACTTCGGTAATGTCATCAAGGTTTATCACTTGTACCTTTCAGAAGGGTGGCCCAAGTCACATCTGAGCCCACTTGAGCCCCAGCTGGGGAAGCTAAAAAGCACTGTGTCAGAATGCAGGGAGCAAAGATTTGAGGAGGCCCGAGGCAGTAAGCCCTAAGGTGCCAAGGGTGCCCTGGGCCCCTTCTTTGAAACCTTTGTGACTTGAAGGCCCTGGCACTCTGGGATCATGATGGAAGTGGCAGCCTCAAAGACTGAAATGCCTTTGGACTCATTCTTCTATTGTCTGGATAAATAGCATCTGGCTTCCTTATAGTCACACTAATCTCATATCAAAAGTTACGTTT